ATCTAATTAAGGGCAGAGCTAGCAATATAGACCATGAATGTCGTAGGAGTCCTACGTTCCTGCTGCTCTCAGGGACACTTCCTAATTAGATGGTGTTCGTGCATCATTCTATTTCAACGGGACATATAGGATTTGTAACTGGGTGGGAGAGGATTCTTCCCTAGGAAAAGGAAAGATTTCCAGGATTGGTAAAATCATTTGGTGTGGTCCTGACAAAGCAACTGCAGTGGAGATTGAAAATTCAGTAATTTTGTAGCAGGCTAACTTTTAGGTTGATAAACTTGTATGGTCCATGAATGACACTGTGAACACTCAAATCACACTGGAAGAAGAAACGGTCCCCACCCATGAAAATTGAACCTGTGTCTATACACAATGGCCATAGTGTATAAGTGTAACATTTTAAAGGGAAACAAGGAAGAAACAATCAGGATATTATCCTGGGATCTTATACTAATCAACTGAACTAAACAGGTACCAGTACAAGTCAAAACATTCAAGTGACATCTAAATAGTGATACCTAGGTGCAAATCATGTTTCTATGGGAATTGAGACCACGAGTTCAATCTCACTACAGCTTAGTAAACTGCATTGTATCCATGACCAAATTCCAGAACAATGTATACAGCAGTGCTCAATAAGTGTGCATTGAGCTTTAACTGAATGGCTGTTAATATCTGGTAGGGGTAGTAGGCAAAAGAAAGGCTAGTGACATTTGCACCATTATATCCTGTTCAGAAAGAGTATTTCAATCTTAATTTCAATTTTTCTTCTAAATAGAGGGCACTGAAATGTGACTCCACAAATATACTTCAGAGCATCAGCTCTGCACCATCTTATTTCCATGCATATTTGCAAGATGCTGGGCAAGGGCCAGAGGCATTTGAGGTGACGATGCTGCATGAATTGAATCGTATTTGTGTGAAGCCTGATTTTTGCTAGCCTGGTGTGGGAGTTAAGATGATGACTAGTGAGTCACCATGCCTTTCCCTGAAAGCTCTGTAAATCACGCTCTTAAAAAAAGCATCATGTTGAATTCCAAAACCCTCTCTGAGGAGAAATGCCCATGGCTGGTGGGGTCTGGACTATGTCCACCAAATGTGCACATCTATTCTGTACAAACATTGCCTGCTCCCAAGGGAGCCTGTGACTGACTGGCTGTAGAGTCACACATCCCTTCTTTTCCAAAGGGGGGGCAGGTCAAGAAAAAAGCCTGAGAGTGGAGCAATGAACCATGGCTTAACTAAGTGTTCTCATCCCAGGAGAAGGGAAATATCCCAACAGAAGGAAAGATGACGCTTTTCAAGAATACCCATGAAGAACATGGGATGTAGATAAAAATGATATTTCTAAGAATGTTTCTTTTAAAATGAGCCTACTTTGTGCTGTGGCAGAGCAGGTAAAGCAGCTACAGTGCTGGCACCCCCTATGGTGCCAGTCGGTGTCCAACTACTTCACCTTCTATCCAGCTTATTGCTAATGGCCTGGGCAAAACAGCAGAAGATGGAGACGCAGAGGAAGCTCCTGGCTCCTTGAATCAGTGGATGGAAGATCTTGCATTCCCCTCCCCTCCCCTCCTATATCCTCCTCTCCCCTCCCCTCCCCTTCTCTCCCCTCCCCTCCCCTTCTCTCCCCTCCCCTCCTTTCCCCTCCCTTCCTGTTCCCCTCCCCTCCCCTCTCCTTCCTCCCCTCCTCCTCTCTCCTCTTCTCTCTCTCACACTCTTTCTCTTCAGGTTTTAAATAAATGAACAAATCTCAATATAAAAAGTGAGTCTCACATTCTCTCAGTATATACTGGTACTACTCGAATGGTACTTTCAGAGTTGGGCTCAAATGCCACAAGCTGGGATCAAAGTGGAATGCACCCCAGGGGAAAGGTAAAAATAGGATACAGGTTGAAAAACCATAAGGCTAAAATTCTCACTTTTTCTGAATATGTCTAAGGGAACAAAACAAACAAACAAAAGACAGTATTTTTAAGTTAAGATTCTTTCTTGAAAATCACTGAAGTGGATATGAAGGAATTGCAATAGAAAACACTGATTATTTTTTTTTCTGGAAACCAACCAAAACACAATTCACTAATTCCCTTAACTCTTAACAAGACCCCCTTGAAGAGTTAATCATGATGTAAAATACGCAAGATTTTATTGGCAGTGTTTGTTCATCTTTTGCACAACTCTCTCAAGTGGCAACCAATTTGATTTCCAGGCCTGACTTCATTACACATTCCAGGTGCCTCCTGGTAATGTCTGTCAGGTTGGTGCCCTGGTCTAGCCTTAGAATCTCTTTCCAGGAAAGACCTGGGACATACTTTACCAGCTTCCAAGTTTTCTACTCACAAGGTACAGAATTTATTAGTGTGAAAAAAAAGATAAAAAGAAAGACTGCTACCTTTTAAAGTGCTTTTACATATGGCTTATGTATGGTGCTTCCAAAAATACTGCTGCCCAGATCATTCGAGTCTTTGTGCTAAGTCCATGGATCTTGCCTTAGCTCCCAGTGAACTTTTAACAGTGTTACTGTCACCACATATGCAGCGAGGTCTTCTGTGTCATGTGTTTGCATTAGTAGAACTCTCATTTGCGGAGACGTAGTTACGAGGACTCAGATCTATAGGTCACAATTAGAACCTAAGTTTATCCAATTCTGGAAATGAAGCCCTTCTTGTCATCCGGAGAATGTATTTCACTGCCCTATGTTTGCTTTTTCTCTAGTATGCCTGTTTTAATCTCCAGATTCAACTCTAAGGCAAAATTGGCATTAAGATCACAAAGAATAAACCCAGGAGAGTATTGTAAGAAAAAGTATGAAAAGAAACTGGGATGTAGAACTTAAATACTCTGAGACTTCCAACTCTTTCTGTCTGACCTTGCACAAATCACTTAATAACTTCATATAGTATAGCTTCTTGTCAGCAAGATGAGTAAAGTAGTTGCATCATCTCATCAGGTTTTTTTTTCAGAGCAACCATGTGAAAGAGCAATTATCTTACTCATATGTTTATTTATTTTCCATTTCTCAGTACACTTTACTACAGTATAAACACTGAGAGTTCAGGAAACTTATTGTTTGGTTCACCACAGTGGCCCAATGCCAGGAACAGCAATCAGCTCATAGTATGTGGTCAAGAAGAATGAATGAAATTTGAATGAGTAAAGGAAGGAACAAAGCAAAGAAGAAAAAAAAAAAAGGAAGGCCAGAGGGAAGGACAACATAGTATTTAAAACATTGTTCATATACTTCAAGAAAGTGACCTGTACATTATTATCTGCATAATATAAAAATCTAAGATTTGATGGTATTAATTATTCCAGGATAATCTTTTAAAAATTGTTACACCAAATTAGTTTTCTGATTAAAGCCCTCGAGTAGCTTTTAATACTTCTTAAAATAAAACTCAAATATCTTTTAGCTTATAAATCAGAGCTGTGTGCTCTGAGCCCTACCTGTCTTGTTTTTAACAGGTAAGCCCTTTCCTACCATACCTCAGTCTGATATTCCTATGTTTTCTCAAATACACTAAGTTTGCACCTGTGTTAGGACTGTTAGGCCTCTTACACTGGAAAGTTGTGCAAAAGCTGGAAGATGAAAATCTGTCATTGGGTTCTTGGCATACATGTCACCTTGTCCAAGTGGCCTCTCCTGTTAATTTACTCTAAAGCAGTCCTTACAGTATTCTATTGTTTATTTATCCATTTTCATACTACTAGTCTCTTCCTGAGTGCCTGATGGTCAATAAATATTTATTTGTGTGTGACATAATGCTTGTCACATAATGCTTACTTAAGTATTTTTATATTTTATTTCTTTATGTAAATGTATAAGCCAACAAACAAAAATCTTTAATGATTTCATAATGAGACTTCCCTCTCTACTCCTTCTCACCTCCAATTTTCATACATATTTTGCAAAGGGTATCTTTAGTCTATAGGCAAAAGCAACTGTACTAGTTGGGTTTAACATTTGTGATTTAGCTAGAATCCTGGAGACATGCAGCCCTAGTGCTAGAATAATTACTTAGCATTCTAACCTATAGGAATTTTTCAGCAATATGGAGAGAGTGCTATTGGGTGTCAGGCAATCCCCTGTGCTGGGTTTAGAAGCCTAATAACTTAAGAACTTGTGAGGGAGCAGAGAGGGGCTGGGGTAGAAATAGGTAAATGGAAGAAAATGTCAGGAATATTTACTGTCTCCAATTTGGGTTTGCTTACACCTATGCATCAGCCTTTCTGTACAAACAGCACTGCACCAGGGCACAAGAAAAGGGTCCAGGGTTTTCTCCATATTTCCTCTTGCTTGCTCCAACATTCGTCCTTCTGTTAAGTGAGGTAGAACTGGAGAACTTAGGAAAAAGTAGCCCTGAAATCCTATAAATTAATGAGAGGAGCCTGACCTTTCACCCTGAGCATGCGCTCTGTGAAACAGAATAACCCCTGTAGGATAAGTCTAGAATTTCAGGACTAGGCGGGATTTCTCTGACCATCCAGCAGGATCACTAGAAGAACACAGATCTCTACTCTCATCATGCTACTCTATTCTTTTTTCCTTTAGTTTCTTTGAGAGACCACAGAAAATCCCCTCATTGTCATGTGGGGATCAATATCTAGCTTTATGACGAAGTGCAATCCAGTTACTCTCCAAGAGATGAATTCCTACTGAATCTGATGTTGCTCACACTACCCATATGCTTTCAACATGTTACACTTGACATTAACTTATGTCTCCTATTAGCATTAATGGGAAACAATCTGGAAAAATTCACTCTCAAGCAGAGTTCAAACAGGCCACAAGTAGATGCAGAATGTATACGTATATCTGTGTGTGTGTGTTATGTGTCAAATCAGTCAAAGAGAGAAAGATAAGAATACTCTATCCAACTTATGAAATTAACTTGTAACAGCAAAAGGAGAAAAAAACTGTCCTAGAATGGAACAAGTCATAATCCAAAGAACTGAATGCTTTGGAAGAAGATTTGGGAATCTTATCCCACACTTACTGGCAATGGGTTAAAATTCTGGTCCACGAGGTGATTGTATCCATGGTCAAAAAATGAATGCCGTATCACTACATCAATGCCCTGGTTGGCCAGCATCCCCAAAGTATTCAACCATCTAAAATGCAAAGTGAAAAGCTACATCAATACACTTTTAAAATGGCATATAACAAGGTCTCTACAAATTGGCAATAACACACACATACATGCCAATCCTTTACAGCCTAATTTATGTAGTACTTTAGAGGAGAAAATCATAGGACATTAGGTCTTCGACAATGAAGTAACTTTAAAATGTTATGTCAAAAACTAAGAAAGACAGAACAAATTATCAGTATATTCTTTTTTTACTTGTATCAGTATATTAGAATTGCATGTTAATTACAATAAGTACTTCTGTTTCTGTTAATAAGAATACAAAACAAAAGAAACTGTAAGCGTTTTTACAGATAATCAGATCCAAATTCTTCACTTTATGGAAAAAGAAGTGGAGATTAAGGGGAAAACAATGAATTATCCTTGGTTGTAAAGTTACTATGGCTAATGACTTACTTTTTATTGCTGGAGTATTAAAAGATGACTGCCCAAGTTACTTGTAAACCTAATGCCATCCCTCTGGTCATAGGATATATAATCGCATAAGCAAACACAGCATCCATCCCATCTTTACTGTCTGTCACTATACATGTATCTTTCATGGGACCCTAAACGATTCACTCACAACCCCTGCAAGAGTATCTCAGTTATTTGTTTACCTCATGTTCATACATCACTTTTAGAGTTGTCTCCGTAACATTTTTCTGGGTGCTATAATTAATTACTCGGGGAATTTAATGCTACAACCACATATACAAGCGTGCTGCACTGAAACCCCTGCATGGCTCATATTCTTACAACATGCCCCGTCATCTCAAACACTTTCTTTCCAGACACCTCATCCTTCAACAGTAGTGCCCTTTGATTCTCCACTGCTGTCTACCTTCATTAGGTACACATTTAATTAACTCATCTAGTCATTCATTCTCATTCTTTCTCTCATACATATACACAGTGTATTTAATAAATATGACTTATATTTTCCATCTTCTCCATTGAAAGACAGGGCATTTCACAATCGTTTCCAGCTTGTGTGTCCAGCTTCATCTGTTACCTCTTTTACCCCTCTTCCTCACGGGCTCTAAGCCACGTAAAACTACTCTTTGCTACTCAAATTAACTAGGCTTCATCATTCTTACCTGAATGTACATGTTCGAACTTCTCCTTTAAAAATTTATTTCCTCTTCTCTCACCTACCTCTATTCATCTGACAATTTTCTTTGAATCTACTAATCTCCAAATCAAGTGTGATTAGTCTAAGTTCTGCTGTTACTCCAGCCAAGAGTAGTACCTGCTCTACTTCCTCAGAATCCTTTTCACACTCTCTGTGAGCCCATCAAGTGGCAATTTATTGATTTCTATTCCTTTTCTTCGTCATACAAGCTTATCAACTATAGACACAATGCCTCAGCATGTGCCCAAAACACCCATCACAGATCCAGCAACATTTAAGGTGCTCAATACTCTTTATGATGAAATTCAGCTGCATAATGTTGGACCCTGAGAATCAATACTGGGCACAGTGGAGGGAAATCACACACAGTTATGATTTTGCAAATCTGAAGTCATGTGGAGCTCCAGATGCATGACTTGTGAAAGACTGAAGCATTTTTTTTTGTGTGCTAGAATAAAAAGCATTGCTAATTTTGAATTGTGAAAAAGTATTATTCATATTTTCAGATCCTTTTCACATTTACAATTATATTTTATCCTTAAAAATGTGAACAAACATGTACTGACAAAGTTACAAAACAAAACAAAAATAAAACACATAACCAAAAATTTACACTGAAAGGAAAATTGAACTATAATACAGAAGAATCATTTTGTTGTTCAAATTGGGACATTGTGACACACAGATTTTGAATTGCTTTTGGAATACTGTATGGCTAAGCTACTTTTCTTTTTATTAACTTGGGAATCTATAAGATCAGGACAAGTTCAGTTCTCCTTTAGCCATAATATTACAAATCTTTCTTTTCACAGCATGCACTGTGATAGAAACATAACACGAATCCAGGATAAAGCCCCCTACATCCATTAGTGTTCTTTCCACATTGAATGAACATCAATATGACAGTCTGTAAGTACTTATCTATAAAAAGTATGTCTTATTTACCTTTATATTATCATACTTGTTGAATGAACATAAAAATAAAACAATGAATAAAAAACATGATATTGCATATGCGTGAGACCCTAAACCTGGCATCATTGCTGTATTAATACAAGACTGTATCTTGTTCTTACACATGAAAAGATGTCAAGTATTCACTAATTCATAATTTATTCAATAACATTTATCAGTAGACATTGGGCATTGTTCTTAGCACTGAAAACATCAACATACCAATGTGATCATGTAAGTAACTGGCAAATTGCTGGGTATGCAAATACTTTCTTATACACATTTACAGGGATGATATCCAGTTCCTACCTGTGCCCCCTGCTGACATGCACAGATTCTAACATTAACAAATAAGGCTAACTTAGTAAAACAGAGCATGGGGAATTGTTGGAGAAGCTCTAAAGCGAAAGAGAATAACAGGTACCATCATCTTCACACCCAAAGGCCTATGTATGTATTGAGAATCTGGAGCAGCAGAACCACTGTTTCCCTGTGTGGCTTTCAGAGCAGTTGGTGTTGAAGTTGTCTTCAACTCCCTTCCTTGACACAAACCCTCAGAAATCAGGAAGTGAATGGCCTTTCAAGACTCCCTTCAAAGTTCAAGTAAAGAAAGTTGTTAAAATGATTGGTATACACCATTAAGAATGTTGCTATAAGCATGGTTTCCCATTTCACAGGAGTTTTTTCTTTTAATCTACTCGTGCTAGACACTAGTACTTTCTGGAGATGCAACAGCCAGTGATGCCTCTGCAGTGTGTCAGACTCACAAAGCTCTGACTGGAAAACACTACTGTCAAGTACTTTGTAGCAGGGGATTCTGATTCATGCTTGCATTTGTAGGTCTGCTAGTGAGCTTTTGAAAAAATGATGGGAATAATTCCTTCTCTTTAATTTCTTACTAACCCTCTCGAGCTTCCTGGAATTCTTTTTTATATTTTTCCTCCAGGAAGCCATTTATGTTTCTTTGGGAACATAGTGTTGCCAGTAGAGTGTGGATCAAACGGGTGACACAGAGGTAAGACCAGAAGCAGAGCAAATTAATTTTCACCTGATCTGTATCAACCAGACTTTGGATATTTAAACTACAACCCATATCTAAACAATTATGTTTATCTGTGTTCTGCAAAATAAATGCAGAGCTCTGGGAATATTTGGCTCATGTTCACAAAAAGGCAGATCTCTGTAGCAGCTGCTTCCATGACGTTCTGAGGTATTTCTCATTTCACATCATCCCCCAAAGGGAGGACTGTTCATGAAAACAGCTGAACTCAAGCAGGTTGCCGGCTGGGCTCTGCAGCAGAGTCCTTTCTTTGGGTGATAACAGAGCAAAATCACAATTCCTCTAGTGATTCCAAGGGGCTTTCTGCATTCCTGACTGCCAGGCTGTTTCTCACCCTTCCACCCTGACTCACATTAAACCAGTACAGAATGTATTTCTGCTCAACTGCTCTGTGTTACACATTGCTGGATGCTGAAGATACAGATATGGAAGACCTATTGTACTACCATGAATTACACTGATCTATTATCTTCATCCACATTTGCCATAATTCCATCTGTAAAGGCAATTTACTTCCATAGTCTGATTTATCCTTCACACATGTACTAAAGGAGCTACCCCAGAGCAGGGCAACTATACATATAAAATTAGGAACAGCTGTTACTAGTAGAACATAGAGCTGAGGGTGTAGCTACAGTTCTTAGGAGTACCTTCCTCAGCCAAAAGGCCATGACCATAGAATCATACTAGACCAGGAAAAAGTCACTTGGTTAATCGATATTCCTTTGGTGCTTGTCCCTGCCACACAACACTGGAAGGTCAGTGAGAAGCCCTTAGTGCTTCTGGCTTAAGTCAATCTCTAGATTGCAGTAAGTTTCACATTCATTTTCCTGTCTCTTCTAAATTTTTGTACATGTTATTACCAAAGGCAAGGCTTCAAGAAACATATCAGAATGCATCTCTTTCCTCTTTCAAAATCCTCAAGGCCTTGTCCTGAGTATAGGACAGGGCTCTTTTCATTTCTTCCACTTGGTTTTCAAGAAGCCCTCTGATTTGGTGATAAGTCTCCTAGTCTCAGACCTCATTTTATCTCTGTGGATAAGGAGGCTTTAGTCACATGAATCATTGCCCTCTCCTTTGTGACTTTACCCATAAGCTTTCTTTGGTTTAGAATATTCTCCTGTGCTGTCACTACCATTCTCAATTTGTAGAAACTAGAGTAATCATATGACTCATTCAAATGATGCTTTCTTGGTGAAGTTCTTCCTGAATACTCCATGTCAGAGAGATTTTCATTTTGTCTGCATGCCTCTTGTTTTTCCTACACTAAGTGAGGCAGAAAGAAAAGGCTATCTACTATGAAGGCTAGGCTCCGGGGCAGACTGCCTGGGGATGAGTCTGCACTGTGCCACTGAGTGACTTGCCTAAGTGTCTTTCAGTTTCCTCTTCTATAAAATGTGGGTAATAATAGCACCTGCTTCATCAGGTAGTTACTAAAACAACAGGACTCATTTAATTCATTAAACTATTAAATATATCTATAAAACACTTCAGACAATATATGGTATATGGTAAGCACTAGTTAAAAGTAGTATAATTATCCACTTCTAACAGTTGGCTACCTCTGTTTCTGAAGGGCAAAATCTCTATCTTATTGTACAACTTACGTATGACTATGGTGAAACTTATATGAAAAAATGTATGCTATTGGTACTTTGTTTTGAACTGTAGGCAATAAAAAACTTGACCATACTACTGTGACCATACTACTATAATCTATGCTGGGATGCCTGTGTCCAACTGTGTAGTATCTAGAGAAGGCATACATCACTGTGTTTTGAATGGCTACAGACATTCACAAATGAATGGATGAAGAACCTTGCACAGCGCTGAATGAGAGCAGGAGCATCAGTTTTGCTGTCCTTCCAAGAAGTGAAATTCCAAGCATTACTCACAAGAATCCTGCAGCGTAGGAATCTGATAGATTGTTTGTGCCTCCAGCTGAGGTGGTCACCACACCTTCAAGCCAAATCTTCTTTCCTGGAGTGTAGGTATTAACCACCTGTTCACACAACAAGCAGAAAAGGATAATGGGGTTTTAAAAGCCAAGTCCAAATGAGAAGCAACTGACATTCCCTCAAGGAAGTTTCCTCAGTTCCCTGCTTCCCCGAGAGTCATGATTTGTGCCTGATTTATGATGTTGCGCCCAGCATAGTGAGACAATCTCACACACACAAAATTAACATGGATACATGTCTACTCAAAGAAATGTCCTTTTTTTTTTCTCCCTAAGAAAATCTAACATGTAAGCTGAATGCAACAGCATTCACTGGAAATACTATTGTATGATGCTTCCCTCTGAGAAGCAGTTTTCTTCTGACCTCTGTTGTGACACATCCATGAGAGAGTGAGTACACTGCCAGTACGTAAGAAGTTATGAGTCAGGGGATGGTAGAGAGCAATGTTCAGGGAAGATATTTTATGATCAGTGAAACCTGATACTGAAAACCACTTTTAAAAACAACCTACAAGTCAGAGACTACCGGGGAGCAACTACAGCTGCATGTCATCCATGCAAATTCCCTTGTCAGAAGGTGACCCTCTGAAGTTTTGAAACGGCCCAGTCTCTGCTCTGCAAGTTGGAGACTGGCCAAACTATCCTACCCCATTTAGGAGGATACTATGGAAAGCAATTTATAGATAATACTGTAAACTAGGTAGGCCTGGATAGCAGAGCTGATTCAAAGACTGACTACAAAGAACACATTTTAGAAAAAACAAAAGAAACATGAATGAGGAATAAAGGGTTTGAATCAAAGAAATGAATATAAGATTGTGTTTGCACACTGGAAGCCATTGTTGGTAATCTGAATTCAATATCTCAGGGCTCTTGGAGTAAGGGCCTTTTGAACTATGTCTCCCTCACAGCTTATATAGGAAGTATTTCAGTCATGGCTCCTATCCTTGAAAGGACAGGTTGGCGGTTTCTCACTCTCCAGATTCCCACCCTCTAAGCCCATTTCATGTGCATGTCTGAGTACTGGGTAAGATTTCCTGAATATTCTACATTTCTGCTTCAGAGAAGACCCAGACAGGAAACAAGGCATAGGGGATAACCATATAACACTAGCAGCCAGTTTATTATCACTCTCACATTAGCTTGATTCTCATGTCTGCAATGATGGTTAGAGCAGGAAGTGAGAGTAGGAGGTTAGACACAGGAAGGGTCCTATAGCTCATCAATCCCTCTTAAAACAAATATACCAAAGCAAGTCTTCCTCAGATCTCTAGGGATATAAATATAGGATACTCACTTTGGCATTGTTTGTGACAAGTGTCCTTTGATAGAGAAATGGAAAAATAAAATGTGGTGGATACATAGTACTATAAAACACTGCAAAAATTGAAACAATAAACTCAGTGTAAATAGCACAAAAAAAATCAAAAATGAAAATGAAAGCAACAACAATAAAAACACAGAATGGGGGTTGACATGATAATCTAGCAAACAAATCCGCTTCCTACAGTGCTGGCATTCCATATGGGTACTGATTCTACTACTGGTTGATCCATTTCTGATCCAGCTCCCTGATTATTATGGCCTGGGAAAGCAAAAGAGGATGGTCCAAGACCAGGAGGAAGCTCCTAACTCCTGGCTTTGCAATGACTCATCTCTGGCCCTTGTGATCATTTGGGGGAGTGATCCAGTGGATAGAAGATTTTTCTCCCTCTCTCCTTTGTAACTTTTGACTTTCAAGTAAAATAAATAAGTCTTAAAAAAAAACCGGAATGAAATCATGAGTTCATAGCACAATATTATTTATGTCATTATTCATTTACATCTAGCAGCACTAAATAGCATTAGGTATACAGCTCTTGAAGCTACATACACAGCACATAAGGAGGCACATTTAACAGGGAGGATAAAGAGAAAATAAAAACTAGACCTTCTATGAACTAATGATGTGGTTTGAGTGACTCAAGTCTCTGCAGGGTTCCCTTACACAAAGGAAAAGGGCGAGACAAACCCATAGCTAGACATCAGCAAGCGATCACATATCTTTAAATTGCACCTAGGAAAAACTTTGTCCTCTCTGCTCCATTTACAAGAGAATTTTCATTATTTGGAGTCTATTTAACTGTGAAAGATGGCCAAATTAATGGCCTTTTTAGAAATGAAGTTGTAAAACATTGCTCAAATTTGAAACAAAACTAAGGATTGAAAGCTCAAGAATGGAAGAAAGATCCAGAGAACTAATGGAGGAGGTAAAATCAGAATGCTAAAGATTAACTAAAAGTTATCCTTGTACATGGAAAAATAAAATTTATTTGGAACACCATGATAATTGTGCACCCAACCAAAAACAGGCTGAAAATAATAACAGTATAAAAGAAAAATACCTTAAATGATCAAGACACAAAATAAAATTTAGGGATTATTTGAATTCTCTTTAAAATACAGTGCCACAAAATACTTGCGCAATGATCAATTTGTGTTTCCTTTATGGCTAGCTAAGTAGAGCTGATTAAATATACTTGTGCTTTTCTTTTTTGCTTTTTGCTTCCAGTATTCAGCTTAATTCTGTGCTTAAAACCAGATACTGAAGTGAGGCAGTTAGAGGAAGGGGGTTTAGTTAAACAAAACAAAACAAAACAAAACAAAAGCCAAAAAGGGTAAACACTGAAACAGGAATGAACCTTGAAAATGTTATGCTAAGTGAAAAAAGCCAGATACAAAAGACCACATACTGTATGATTCCATTTATATGAAATGTCCAGAATAGGCAAATTTATAGATGGCAAGTAGATTAATGGCTTCCTAGGGTTAGAGGGAAGGGGAATTTGTGAGTAGGGCAGCTTGGAAGTGTCTGAGTAAGGGGCTTCTTTTGGAGGTGGTGAGTCTGCTTTAACGTTAGAAAGTGGTGATGATTTTAAAATTCTATGAATATAGTAAAATCTCTTAAGTCTCACACTTTTAAAGGGTGAACTCTATGGTATGCATATCACATTACCAAAAGAGGAGTTTAAGTAGGCCAATAGTCATAATGGGGAAAGAGGATTGCTTCTTGGCCTTTTGGCTAAGATCAAGGGTGGAAAGAGGAACATGTCCTGGAAATGTAGGGTTCTATTACATGCTAGATACTATCTTGGGCTTAAATTTCTTCATTGATATTTGAAGCCATGGATTTGTAGCACATGAACTTTAAGTCTCTTCTAATTACAATGTTAAGAAGTATTGGTATTTTGGTATCCTGACACTCAAAGGTCCAGTATCTTTAAGTTGACAAGTATGGGAGATCAAAAATAAATCAAATACAACTTAGAGATGGTCCATCTCAGAAGCAAAGATTTGTGCTAGCAAACAGTGAGATACAGAAACCCACAGGAACAGATGATATTGCCTACTGAAATTATTAAAAAATTAGGTCATATAAAGGATAAGAATTTCTATACTAAAAATTTAAGCTGCTAACAAATGCAATAATTAATTCAACAAATATTTATTGAGTAACTGCTATATGCCATGCAGAGCTCTAGGGGTAAGTTTTTCAGCAACGAATCAGAATAAATCTCCATTCTCATTCACATTTTAGTCAAGAGAAGGATACTAACAACTAAATGAAAGAAATTTAGATAATAATGTAGGCAGAAAAACAGAGAAATATAGTTGCAAGTGACTAAGCAGGAAGGATACTGTGGAAGCTGGTATTTTGACTAAGAAGAAGCTAGTCCCTTCGAATCTGGAAGGGCAGCACAAAAAAGGACCTGGGAATAGGACTGTTATTTGTAGAACCCAAAGAATACCATCTGGAGTGTAGTAAGGGACTGAAAGATTGAAAATGAGAACAGAGAAGAAAGAAGACATTTTCTTTTTTTTTTTTTTTTAAAGATTTATTTTTATTATTTTTTATTGGAAAGGCGGAGAGACAGAGAGGAGAGACAGAGAGGAAGATCTTCCATCCGATGATTCACTCCCCAAGTGAGCCGCAACGGGCCGATACTATGCCGATCCGAAGCCAGGAGCCTCTTCCGGGTCTCCCACGCGGGTGCAGGGTCCCAAAGCTTTGGGCCGTCCTCAACTGCTTTCCCAGGCCACAGGCAGGGAGCTGGAAGGGAAGCGGGGCTGCCGGGATTAGAACCGGCGCCCATATGGGATCCCGGGCGTGCAAGGCGAGGACTTAACCACTTGCGCCACCGCGCCGGGCCCAAGAAGACATTTTCATTCTGAGTATGACACAAAGTTATTGGGATTTAAGCAAAGAAGTAATCTGATCTGACTTAGGTTCTAGGAAACCATATACATACATATATATATTTATTTATTTATATGTCTATAAATAAATGTGTAAATGTGTGCATCTATGTAGCACAAAACATGATATACACATTAGAGTTCTGCTATTTCAATAAGCACTTTTAGCTCAATTTCCTCATTCAAACAATGGGAAAAATTCCAAATTCCACAGTAATTGTGCTAAGGACTCTATCCATTTTATCCAAAGATAAATAACATTATGCCAAGTACATGAAGTTTCTAAGAACTAGTGGAAAGGGACCGCAGTCCTAGTAGATGAACATTTATATGAGTTTCTCTGTGGTGATGGCATACCTTCAGCAGTGCCAACTGTTGTACAGTTTGGTGGTAGAGTTCTGAACGGCTACTTAGGATCCAAGCAAAATCCTAGGAAATTTTCAGGAAACACAGAATCTCTTTGGGTTCAAAGAATCCTGCTTTGCTTACTTATATATCACTTTTATCAGAAAGATAGGAGAAGTGCTTAACTAAAGCAGGTATTAGGTAGTGCTCTATAAACCCAAATGATGACTGGTATTCCAAACCTGCCTTGGGAGAGCTCAAAGTAAACTGCCACTGTTTACGGAAGTGATGTGATCTGAGAGAAGGCAGCTAAATCAGCCAAAGCACTGAAAGGTAAATGCATATTGTGAAAACACTCTTAGAAATAAAAAAAAATAGAGAGACATACACTGAAAACCCCTGACCACATGAAAGACGCAGATGTAAGCAGTGCATATTTATTTGCTTAGTCTTAGAATATCAGA